ATAATCCACTAATTTTGGTTTCAGATTTAACAATGCAACTAACCCTTTAGAAATTTTCACCTTTCAAGTTTGATGTAGTAACAAAGTAGAACATGCCCCGTTTTCTGCAAAGTTATTGAAATCCCCTTCCTTTTCTAACCATATACTTGTTTCAGGATATGGACTGGGGCTGCATCTGGAGATGATGAATCTGGAGAGAAATCACAATCTCATCAATATCGATTCCTCCAATCTTAAAATATGGCATATTCTTGAATTTATTAAATACTTCCATGGTTTCTCTTAGCAATGTTTTGCAGTTTTCTATTTAGTGGCCTTGTACATATTTTATTAGATACACTCTTAAACATTTTATGTTTCTTGGTGCTATTGTAAATGGTGTTATTTTAAAATTTCCTTTTCTAATTTATTGCTGATATAAAGAAGTCTTTTGAGTCTTACGAATTACGTAACCAGTGACCTTGGTAAATACACTTTTATATGCAAATTATAATTTATTTGTAGATTATTTGGGGTTTTCATTGTACCCAATCATATTATTATTAATGATAGTTAAATTTCTTCACTTCCAATTGTTATACCTTTTCTTAATTAATGTTAGTCTTGATTTTTTTCTTTACTAGTGTTAGTAGAGGCTTATCCATTTTATTTATTTAATTAATTAATTAAATTTATTTATAACAAGAACTTGCATTTGGTTGTAGGACATTTGGATACAGAATCTATACTGACCATGAAGGTGTTATGGGTATTCTGATGTCAGCAGTGTTAGCACAGCTAACCAATCATTCTCTAATGATCTTGGTTTTCATTACATTTCATTTTCATGTAGTTCAAATTACTGTCTACTTTCCCTACTGATTTCTTCATCCAGGTTATATTCTCCTTCCTGATTTCTATCCTGGTAGTTTCAGGCATTTATACTTGTCCTTTCCTATTCTTGTAGCTTATACTCCACATATTGGGGAACCAATGTGAGGATCTGTCAGCTTCTAAGTATGTCACCTCAGTGGGTCACTAAAGAACAAGCAACATGACCACAGGTTAGAATAATGAACCTATTGGGTCTACTGTTAAGATGGATTTTTCAAAGATGCCAGGTATCACCTGGATTCTCTATAGGCCTACGCTACTCATGATAGCAGTTTGGGTCCTCTTATGTGAGTCTGTTAAGTAAAGATTCTCTATTCAGTCATCCTACAGTGATCTGGGTATTCCCCATTCCCCAGTGAACAGCTACCCCAAATGGCTGGAGGTCACTTTGGAGGGGAATAATTGAGGAAATTGCTACTTTATATCCTTACTTGGGCATTGTAGGATCTCACCCTCAACTTGAAGGATGAGCTCTGGCTCTCAGACTGGCTTGGGTCCAGAAATTTAGCAAGGGATTGTGAATTTCCATTAGTAGTAATTGGCACCAGTCCTTTGCTCATCTCTTCTTAATTTTCAGTTACATACATCAAGGGATATCATCATTGACTACCCAGATCTCTCTCTTTTTTTAAATATAAATTTATTTTTTACTTATTTATTTTTGGCTGTGTTGGGTCTTCGCTGCTGCACGCAGCCTTTCTCTAGCTGCGGCGAGCGGGGGCTACTCTTCGTTGCAGTGTGTGGGCTTCTCATTGTGGTGGCTTCTCTTGTTGTGGAGCACACGCTCTAAGTGCACGGGCTTTAGCAGTTGTGGCACACGGGCTTCAGCAGTTGTGGCTCACGGGATCTAGAGCACAGGCTCAAGAGTTGTGGCGCACAGGCTTAGTTGCTCCGTGCCATGTGGGATCTTCCGGTACCAGGGATCGAACCCATGTCCCCTGCATTGGCAGGCGGATTCTTAACCACTGCGCCACCAGGGAAGTCCCTACCCAGATCTCTCTTAATCACAGCCACTTGGCCTCTGCTATTCTGGAATTCAAGCATCCCTAGTGACACTGGGTGCCCAACTCCATGATGGTACTTCCAACCATCGACCCTAGTCTATAGAAGAAAGCTACCACTGAGGTCTTCAACCACATCAGGATCTCCTCAGAAGTGCATTTCCTCATTGCTTTAGTGAAAGGAGTGTACTCTGGGCCATCCGGATAATTAGGTGCTAGATTTTGTAGTATCCTTATGTTCTATTAAAGTATGGCCACAACTCTGAACTTTTGACCCCTTCTGTATTACTCCGTTAAGGTTGTTCTGGCATATCAACCTGATTTATTGTAGGCCAGGTTGTTTTCCATCTTCAAGGTTCCATCCAGTGGCAAATCAAGGCTGGCCCCAGGTTACCTTGCCAAGGTATTAAACCCTGATTCACTAGACAGCATCCTCCTTTTCCAGGCTTATACTTTAATATCTTGGGGTCAACATCCTTAACATCCATCCCTGGCATGTTCTCCATGTTCTTGTCCACACATACTAGCAAATTCTACAATTTAAAAAAAATAGCTTTATTCCAATAGCAGAGGGTATGTCTTCACTTGGGCTGCATTTAGACTTGAGACTAATTAGTGGTCTAGTACCAAAAGGGAAGGCAGGGACAGATCTTGAGAAGAACAGGCATCATCTTGTGAGACATCCATCTCATCTAAGTCTCTCTGGTCCACAGGCAATGTGATGCTGTTCTGCCCCACCATGGGGAGAGCAGTAACTTCACAGCCCAGGGGGTTCTGAGGGATTTGGAGGTGTTAAGTTTCTCCAGTGCATCTATTCAAACGTGCCAAGCCCAGAAATGAGTACATGAGTACATATTACTATCTGGCCAGCATGAAATCCACTTTCAGAATCCTATCTTGAGTGTCTGCTTCCTGGGACAATTTCTGGTCCAGCTAATGTGGTTTGAGTTTCTCCAGAGACAGACTCTGAAACAGTGATGCATATGAGTAATTTATTTGAAAGGCGTATTAGTTCCCTACTGATGCTGTGACAAATGACCACAAAGATAGTGACTTAAAATAACCCAAGTTAATTTTCTCATACTTTCTGTAGCTCAGAACTTCAGACAGGTAAACTAGGTCAGGTCCTCTGCTTACAGTCTCACAAGGGTAAAACCAAGATGTGGGAAAAAGCTTCCTGTTTCTTTGGTGGCTGTCAGCCAAGGGCTTGTCTTTTCTCCAAGAAACTATCAGCGTTTCTTCTTGTGCTTCCATGTGTCTTCATCCAGCAGTAGCGGCTTGAGTCCCTCTCACTTTCCAAGGCGACTTGAGCCCCCTTCTGCCACATCTCTCTGACTTCACCTGGAGAACATTCTCTGTTTCTAAGGGCTCATGTGATTAGCCAGGACCCACCCAGATAATCCAGGATAATGTCCCCTCTTTAATGTCCACACCCTTAATTAGTTCTGCACATTACCTTCTGCCATGTAATATGCATATCCACAAATTCCAGGGCTTCGAGTGAGGACGTATTTGAAGTTCCATTCTGCCAACCACCAAAGCGCTGGTATAGGATGTTAGGGAAGGGAAGCAAGCCAGTACGAGTGGGTTTGTGAACTGTTTGCTGCTCCTGTAAGATAAAGCTAAATCCCACAAGTACCTCTGGGAAATGACACAGAATAGGGGACAGCAAACATTTTCTGTAAAGGATGAAATAGCAAATAGTTTCAGTTTTGCTGAAATGCTGTGCCGTATGGTCTCTATTGCAACTATTCAACTCTGCTGTTGTAGCACAAAAACCGTCATAAGCAATATGCAAACATATGGGTGTGGCTGCATTCCACTTAAGTAACATTTACAAAAATAAGTGGCAGCTGAATTTGGCCCACTGGCTATGGTTTGTAGAACTTTGATGTAAAGCATGCCTCAGAAAATTTCCTCCTAAGGGGCAAGGAATCTGGGACATTTATTTACCATCATAATTATCTGAGGGTCGATCGATAGTCCTGAGTACATTAAGTCCTCCCTGATAACTGGCTGAGTATTCTACTCTATTGAGGCCAGAGGAAGCACTGCAACAGAAAGTATCAGATACTTGAAGCAAAAACACTCTACAGGAACAGTCAATGCCAAGGAAATACTGGTAGAGCATTGACAGCATCTGCTGTAAGTGTTGATCTGCCTACAGCCTGCAGCTGTGGAAATTCACAATGTGTAGATTTAGCCCTAGATTATGTTGCTTCATTTTATCCTTCATTAAATATAACTAGAGTATTTGGCAAGTAATTGGCACATAGGGGTAGGTGAATGCAAGATGAGCACAGTACTATGTATTTATCAAAAAAACTAAGATGACATTGGAAAATCTGAAATAGTTGGAAAACATGTATACATATATAGAGAGACACACACACACATACATGTATGTATAAACTTTAGGAAATGGTACATGATTAAGAGAATGTGTAGGGATTTAAATTTATGTAAACAGGTAGTGGTTAGCTATTTTTGTAGGTGGATAAAAAATTCATATAACTGCTGGAGGAGTAATCATGAAGAAATTTTTTTTATTTAAATAGGGGGAATTATTAAATATTACAAAATAATGATATAACATACTAAATATCTGGTCCTATCACTTGGAAATAGTGTGCATTGAACATTCGGTTGATGGAACGATAGTAGATTACACATTTATATTTAGAATGAGTAAACAGAACAAATTTTGATCATCCTGAAACTGGGAAATGCAGGAATGTTTGAGAATAATTAAGAGACATCCATTATAATGTTTAGACATCCTTGCAACCATAAGAAACAGAAAAAAGTTGGACCAAATTCAGAAGTTTGTAGAGAAAACAGAGACTGAGGTCATATGATTTGGCTAAAAGGGAATTCATTTAGTCCATATATTCAAAATCTCTCTGCTGGTATAATTGTGAACGGTGTCTTCAAACCAAGGTTTCATGACTCATTTGTCTTCTCAGCTGAAGAGGTGTGGGGAAATGATTCATACATCTTAATTTATCCTCATTTTCACATCTTAATTCTACTGAAGACTTAGTTGCATATATCATTCCATATATGCCATGACCACTTACTGGAAACATAAGAAATTGTGTTCAGATTTCAGTCTTAATTACTCACCTGTTCACTGTCACAGTCACATTCTTCCTGAGGTTCCAAAATCCCATTACCACACACCGACTGATTTTGATATAATGGTTTCAGTTTTGAAAAGTTCTGAAGACACTGACCCTCAAATGTTGAAACAAAATATCTGTAGTCACGCATGCTGCAGTTGCTAAACATCTTTATACCACTGGAAACCCTAAAAGGAAATAACAGTCCTCAGGTTAAGTAAACCTAGCTAATAAAACCACATCTAAACAATGCTCCATGTATAATGATACGAATTGCAAGATGGCTCAAACGAAAAACTTGTACCTTGGTGGAGACAAAGTCAAACATGATTAATTTTTAATTTATCATTGCTTATCTTTAACATTAAAAAAATAAGCATTGAAAATGTATCTTTACAGGAAAGCAATAAGGTATAATGGTTAAATCTATCTATCACCTATCTATCTACCTACCTATCATCACCTATCTTTCTCCTTACCTAACATGCTCTTCTCTTACATATTGAAAGCTTCCTTCCCTTATTTCCATTAAATATTTGCTCAAATGTCACCTTCTAGAGAGGTCTACCTTGACATTATCTGAAATTGTGTTCCCTCCCATATTCTCCTTCCAATTTCAATATTTATTATTCTACGTAGTAGTTTCATATCATGTAAAAATAAGATTTTTTGTTTGTATCTTTTAATATATCTTCACATGACCTAAATTTTACACTAAAATATAAGTCCCTTGAAGTTTTATATTTTCATGTTCATTTCCAGTGGGCTGTCTAGTAGCTATGTCTAACAGATGTCCAATAAACATTTCAAATACGCGAGGTACAGTATTGAACTACTGTTCTTCCCCACCAAGTCTGCTCCATCCACTGTCCTCAGTTGCTGGCAACTCCATTCTTCTGGTAGCTCAGGTTGATAACATGCGTGTGACCCTGGACTTTCTGCACTAATACACACACACACACACACACACACACACATGAATATAACACATCCAATTAACAATTTTTATATGGATTACATGTTGAAATGATAATATTTCAGATAGACTGGGTTAAATAAAATAATTTATTAAGATACATCACTAATTAATTTTATCTGCTTAAAATTTTTTTAATGTAGCTACTCTAAAATTTACAGTTCTCTATGTGGCTCACATTTCATTTCTATTGCACAGTGCCACTCTACACAATCACGTCTGAAATAATCATGCCTGAACAGCTACATCTGAGATGACAGAAGTCCTGGGTTGTCATCTCCTGATGACAGGAGGCTCTCCTGAGCCTTCGAGGAAGGAAATATATAATTGCCAAGGTTTCAGAGTTGGTAGTGTCTGAGAAAAAAAGTGAAATGCTTTAGCCTTTACTGGCACAGCCATTTGTAATGGGATAAATAAGGGAAACTGGGAGGAATATCACAAGCAATAATAGTATTTAAGCAAACTTCTCTATTACTTTTAACTACATTGTTTGTTTTTCTAAAAGGAACATTTATTTACTTTTGGCTGCATCGGGTCTTTGTTGCTGTGCGCGGGCATTCTCTAGTTGCAGCGAGTGGGGGCTAATCTTCGTTGTGGTGTGTGGGCGTCTCAGTGCGGTGGCTTCTCTTGTTGCGGAGCACGGGCTCTAGGCATGCGGGCTTCAGTAGCTGTGGCTCGCAGGCTCAGTAGTTGTGGCTCGCGGGCTCTAGAGCACAGGCTCAGTAGTTGTGGCGCATGAGCTTAGCTGCTCTGTGGCATGTAGGATCTTCCCAGACCGGGGATCAAACCCGTGTACCCTGTGTTGGCAGGCGGATTCTTAATCACTGCGCCACCAGGGAAGTCCCAACTACATTGTTTTAATCGGCATCTGTGCCATTCTGCTTCTGTAGGCCACTCTCATGCAAAAAGCTACAAACTCTGAGCACTGACATCCTTTTACACAAAATTAGTTTAAAAATACACAGGGACTCAGAGGTTATTTTCTACTTGGACCCCATGTTTTCTGAGTGACAATTAAAAGTATTAGCTAGAACTTGGAACTTTTATTTAAGGTGGGTACGAAACAATTTAATTTTTAAAATCTTTGCTTAAAAGATGGCCATGGGGGGCTTCCCTGGTAGCGCAGTGGTTGGGAGTCCGCCTGCCGATGCAGGGGACGTGGGTTCGTGCCCCGGTCCGGGAGGATCCCACGTACCGTGGAGCAGCTGGGCCCGTGAGCCATGGCCGCTGAGCCTGCACGTCCGGAGCCTGTGCTCCGCAACGGGAGAGGCCACAACAGTGAGAGTCCCGCGTACCACAAAAAAAAAAAAAAAAAGATGGCCATGGGAAGGAAGAAATGCAAGTGATATATATATATATATATATATATACACACACACACACACACACACATACATACATATATAATAGACACAAGGCATTTGAAACAAATATTAAATAATTGGCTTTTTGTGGGGAAGACTACCTCTGGGTCTAAAGACAGCTATAAAATAAGTTGGGCTAAGGCGGCTGCCTTGAAATACTTTGACTTCTTATCCAAAGTTCCAGTTGTGAGGTAGGAAGAAAATTGAAGTAATTATTTCAGGAGAGTGCAGCGCCCTCTGCAGGCCTGACTGTCTCTGACCCCACGGGCATTAACTTGGCAAAGTGTCAACTATCCGCTTTCCTTTACACACTTCGGTAGCTGTTGGAATGAATCTTAAATTTGTAGTTACAAAATATGTCTTCAACAAGTCCAACAATCCTATCACTTTCCTAAGTCATTTCTAAGTTCCAGTCTCCAAGATAAGTGTTTCACATCTTCTATCAAAGATTCCCATCAGAATAAACCAGATTCCCTACATCTTTACACCTCCATTAACCAGATTCCCTACGTCTCCATCTGTTTACTCTCTTAATGTTCTATCACAGTAACTGAATTTAACCTCTCCTCTCTAATTTCCTCTATGATTTTGCTCTTAACTCTTCATATGTCCAAAATCATCATCTTTTCTTCCTCTTCTCTTCATTTTGATCAATCTATAGATAATATGTCGTGTCTCCCATCAATAAAATCCCTCCTTTGATTATAAATCCCACCTCATAACCCCCAAAAGGTTGCCTGTATCCTTCATCTCCATCCTATTGCCCCCCACAGAGTTTATCAGGTTCCTTAAAAAGAATCTAAAATATTGATTGGGATTGCACTGAATTTATAAACCTCTTCTGAAAAAATTTTATAATAGGTCATCTATTTTCTTAGTGCTGGTATACACATACTTGTACACATAGTAATGGTTTTCAAGATTGACCACCCTGATGAATTTTTGGATGTTTTTGTTCTTACTGTGTACTGGTTCTGTGGCCTCTATGTAGGTAATCAAGCATAATAACTGCAAAGAAGGACAATTATTTTCCTCTTCAAATCTTTTCTTCTTTTTTTTCCCCTCAAAATAATAGCCAAAGCTACTAGTACTACGTTATATTGTTAAGGGTGATTTTGCCTTGAGCAACAGATACAACAAGAACAAAAACAACAACAGTATCTATGTGAATTCAATATTTCATAGTCTTCATAAATCTTTAAAGTTTCCCTCTAATTCCCTTGAGTGAATATTTCATTATCATGGGGTTTACCGCTTTCTGGAGTCTTATATCATGTGAACAAATTCATTAGTGTGATATCTCTTCAGGCACAACATTCCTTCCTAATTTTTGACGTGGGATTGAGTATAAAAAATAAATTCATCATGTCTTGTAAACAACCTCACAAATATATGTGTGAAATAAATTCAAAAGAAAAAACAAGGCTTACACTGCTTCATGATTCATTATGCACATAGCACTTGGACAGGAACATTTATGGATGTCATCATATGTTAATCCTATTTTAAGGCCAAGCAGTTGAGCTATAATAACGGAAAATCCCTCCAATGTTATTGTACCTGGATACTAAGATAAAGAAGGTTGAAGAGAAAACCATTATATAAGAAGAAAACAAAAGCAAGTAATACATCAAAACAGTTTTGTTCCTATAAAATTTTATATTTTAATACCTTTTCATGTTGACCATATTTTATTTTGATAAAATAGTTAATTTATTAAGAAGCATGATATAAAGTAAAATGTAATTAAACTACCAATATTCTCTGGTGTAAAATTAGGCATGCCCAGATTCTATAGCCTTAAGCACACTTAGTGTTTCTGATGTAACCAATATAAAACACATTTATTTAACTTTCTTATTAAATCAATTCATTCAATTAACAATTATTAATTCAGTATACACGTGTCAGGCACTATGATAAAAGATAAGAATATAGTGGCATGCATGAAAGAAAGGACTTTGTCCACACTTGCAGTTATATTACAAAAGTGGAGAAAGAAAATTAGTAGGAAATTAATAACGAACTCCCCAAATATAGAGAGATCATGAAAAGTGCTCTGAAGAAATGGAGTGCTCTAATAGAGAATTCTGAGGAGGGGTATAAGATACAGATAAGATACTTAGGAAAATCTGTTTGTGGAATTGATGTTTAGGCCAAGACAGAAAGTTTGGAAAATGACCCAGCCTCATTAATAGCGTTAGGGAGCTTGTATGGGAACCTGTTCAAAGGCTGTAGTATAATGAGTGAAGTGAAGGAATGACAGAACGGAAGTTCGATATATAGGCAAGGCCATGGTAAAGAAATTTGAAGTGAGATGTTACCAAAAAAAGATTGGTGGTAGTGCAGAGTGGCATTTCATATGATTTAACCTGGATAAATAAACTGTGATACTTTTCTCATATTTTTAATCATTACAAGAAAAATTCTTAGAACTTCTCTAATTTTTCTACATCAATAAAAATACATAGTGAGTAAAACTGAATTAATACCTAAAAGAAAAAATATTGTGTGTATGTATGTGCATGTGTGTGAATGAAAACATAGAATATTATCTAGCAACATGGAAAAATGACTTAGTAGGTACCCTCTCTTGAAAAAAAGGGAAAATCCCAGTGTCAGAATTTGAAAGGAGGCTAAAGACAAATCAGAACATGAGAGATGATATCTGGCTAACCACCAGGTTTTAGGGCAAGATATAGGAACCAGAAGCTGGACTTTTAATGCCAACACAGAGAAAGGAGAAACAGTCTTATACTTTCATATTTATATAGTTGAAAACAAATCTCCTGTATAAAGCTATGCTACAGAATAAAATAAGCCCTTAATTATACTGTGCAGGAAGAGAAGGTAGATTACACACAAAAATTAATAACAGGAATAAAAAAGATGACATCAGTAAAGATCCTCAGATTAAAAAGAGCTATGATGTGCAAAAGAATGAAATTGGAAACTTGTCGTATACCACTTACAAAAATTTACTTGAAATGGATTAAAGACTTAAACATAAGACCTGAAACTGTAAAAGTTTTAGAAGAAAACATATGGCAAAAGCTGTTTGATATTCGTCTTGGAAATGATTTTATTGGATTTCACATCAAAAGCATAGGCAACAAAAGCAGAAATAAACAAGTGGGACAACATCAAACAAAAATATGTCTACACAGCAAAGGAAACAATCAACAAAATGAAAAAGCAACCTATGGAAATGGAGAAAATACTTGCAAACCGTATACCTGATGAGGTGATTTTAAAAATATATAAGGAGCTCATAGAACTCAACAGCCAAAAAGCCCCAAATAACTCAATTAAAACATGGACAAAGGGCCTGAACAGACACTTTTTTCCCCCAAATAATACATATGAATGGCCATCAAGTATATGAAAAATGCTCAACATCACTATTCGTCAGAGAGATACAAATCAAAACCGCAGTGAGATATCACCTTCTACGAGATAGGATAGGTAATATCAAAAAGAGATAATGAATGAGGACGTGGAGAAAAGGCAGCCCTGGTGCACTGTTGGTGGAAATGTAAGCTGATACAGTCATTGTGGAGAATAGTATGCAGTCCTCAAAAAATTGAAAACATATCATATGAGCCAGCAGTGCCACTTCTGGGCATACACGCAAAGAAAACGAGACCCCTTTCTGAACTCCCATGTTCACGGCAGCATTATTCTCAATAGCCCAGGCTTGGAAAGAACCTGCATGTTCACCAATGAATGAATGGGTAACGAAAACGTGGTAGGTATACAGTGGAATGTTAGTCAGTTATAGAAAAGAAGGAAGTCCTGACATTTGTGACAACACAGATGACCTTGAGGGCATTATGCGGAGTGAACTAAGTCAGACAGAGAATGACAAACACCCCATGATTTCATATGTGGGATCTAAAACAAATGAACAGAAAACGAAACGGAAACAGACTCACAGATACAGAGAACAAACTGGTGGTTAGCAGAGGTGGGGACTGCTGGTGAGACGGGTGAAATTCATGAGGGCGATTAAAAGGTGCTGACGGAGAAAGACAAATACTGTATGGGATCACTTACATGTGGAATCTAAAACAAAAAAAAAGATGAAAACCACTGACCTCACAAAAACAGAGAGAATGGTGGTCCCTAGGAGCTGGGGAATTAGGGAAATGGGAAGAAGTTGGCAAAAGGTTACAAACTCTCAGTTATAAGATGGATGAATGAGTCCTGAGGATCTAATGTACAGCATGGCGACTATAGTTACTAATACTGTATTATATACTTGAAATTTGTTAAGAGAGTGGATCAAAAGCACTCTCATAAATAAAAAAGGTAAGCTATGTGAGGTGATGGTTATATTAATTAATTTAATTTTGAGAATCATAAATAACTTACATCAAATTATCACACTGTACACTTTAATTATATTAGTATTTTATTTGTCAATTATACCTCAGTAAAGCTGGGGGAGGGGGGCAGGAAGAGCTGTGGCGTGTTGTGCACGTGTGTGCGCACAAATACAGGAAAAACATAGAGAAGAAAAATGAATATTGGACAGTTTCAATAGAGACTTGGAATCTATAGTATAGAATCTAATAGATACTTCAGGTCATGAAGAAATTGGAGCCTGCCGGGCATTAACAGAAGCTTGCAGCATTGGTCAGGAGTCCATGCTCAAAGGAAACTAACTCTAGAAAGAGACAGTTTTTGTGACGTTTAGACTCAGGCCAGGTGTAATAGACATGGCATATGGGTTCACAGGGAACTCATGGAAAAAATGTTTACTATTTCTGGCCTGGAAAATATAAATTGTGAATACGAGGAGGATGATGACTGCGAAATACACAAGCAGAAAGCTTCAGAAAGAAGACCCTCCAAATTCTGACCCCCACATTTCTGGCTGATTTTTGAGACACTCATACATGGAACAGCCTCAACACAACTGAGGATCTCAGCTGAGGCTAGAGCTGTTGTTCATGATGAAGAGCTGCTGTTCTAAATTTAACCAAGAGCACTGCATGACAAAACAAGCAAACACAAAATCAACCCCCATCAGAGAAAAGCAGCAGAATCCAGACTCCCTATGAACATTACAATGTTCAAGATAACAAAGAATATCATTGAAAAGGCCATGAAAACTGAATTGGGGTGTGAACAATGGCCCATAAAACTGATCCAGAATGTGTATTTTAGAAAATAAACTGTCTTCTGAAATGGAAGATTTAAAGAGAAATCAGTGTCTCCTGACATAATTCTCAGAAATATCCTGAATACAGTCCAAAATTACTCATCATACCAAGAACCAGGAATATCTCAACTGTAATCAGAAAAGACCATCAACAGAGAGCAAAACCAAGATGGTTCATACAATGCATTCTGCAACAAGGATTTTAAAGTAACTACCATAAAAATGCTCCAACAAGCTATTACAAAAACTGTTAAAAGAAATTAAAAAACAGAAAATCTCATCAAAGAAATAGATAATATAAAAAGAACCAAATGAAAGTTTCAGAACAGAAAAATACAATAATAAAAAAATAAATAAAACCTCAATAAATGAACTTAGTAACAAAATGGAGATGTCAAAAGGGAGAATCAGTAAATTTAAAGACTGATTAGGGGCTTCCCTGGTGGTGCAGTGCTTGAGAATCCGCCTCCCAGTGCAGGGAACACAGGTTTGAGCCCTGGTCCAGGAAGATCCCACATGCCGCGGAGCAACTAAGCCCGTGCACCACCACTACTGAGCCTGTGCTCTAGAGCCCACGAGCCACAACTACTGAAGCCTGTGTGACACAACTACTGAAGCCCACATGCCTAGAGCCCATGCTCTGCAACAAGAGAAGCCACTGCAATGAGAAGTCCGTGCACCACAACAAAGAGTACCCCCCGCTCGCCACAACTAGAGAAAGCCTGCGTGCAGCAACGAAGATCCAAAGCAGCCAAAAATAAATAAATAAATTTATATATAAAAAAACATTGATTAGTATAAATTATCCAATCTGAAAACAGAGAGAAAATAGTTTTTTTAAAAAATTAACAGAAATACAGGAGCAGTGGGACAATAACAAAAAAAATCTAACATTAACATCGTTAGCGGCCCAGAAGAGGAGAAAAAGTGCATAGCTGAAAAATACTTGAAGGAAAAAAGGCTGAAAATCTCCCAAATTTGGCAAAAGACACAAATCTACATATTTAATAGATTCACAAAACTTCTGACAATAAACTCAAAGTAGTCCATGGCCAGACAGATCATAATTACATGGCTAGAGAAAAATTTTAAATGCCTTGAAATCAGCCAAAGGAAAACAACATATTGCTTATTCAGGAACAATGATTACTATGACAGAGGATTTCTCATCAGAAATAATGTGGGACAGAGGATGTAGGACAATATTTTCAAAGTGCTGAAAATGAGTTTTATCCTGCAAAAATATCCTTGAAGAATAAAGAAGAAGTGAACACATTTCTAAAATGAAGGGAAATTCAGAGACTATGTTCCAATAGCCCTGCTTCAGAGCTGTAACATCTGTAGTGAAGAAAGAGGGACAGAAGGGATATTTATATGCGAAGATATAATAGACTATTCTT